CGTTGTTTCTTCTTCTTCAGAGACGTAAATACTCCAAATAAAGGTGCACAGAGACGATTTCAGATTGCTAAATTAACTTCACGCAGATTGTCATCAGAGCAACTTTACGGTATCACAGAGTTGAGGATGGAAGGAGGAAACAAGACACTCTCTCAACTCCCTCCAACTGCTGTCTCTTATACACATCTAGATGTGTATAAGAGACAGAAGGTGCACAGAGACGATTTCAGATTGCTAAATTAACTTCACGCAGATTGTCATCAGAGCAACTTTACGGTATCACAGAGTTGAGGATGGAAGGAGGAAACAAGACACTCTCTCAACTCCCTCCAACTGTATAGCTTCTCTGTTGACTATCTACCTAAAGTTGGAAGGAGGATGTTTGTGAATCCTGAAATCCCTCAACTAAAACAGCGGGCCGGAAAACAATGAAGAAAACAAAACCAGGCGGCGAAAGAAATGACTAGTAGCCGTTTCGGCAAGCGTGAGATTGGACCATACAAATTGATGCAATACAATACAATACAATACATACAGTCATGCTTCTGCTGTAATTTTCGAAGCCGAGATAGCAGATGCCCCCCTACTTCCTTGCAGTGAGTCTGTCACACCCTCCACCCCATGAAACAATCACAAAACAAAAAAAAGAGAAAAAGAGAAAAAGAAATTCCTTGTCAGCACAGTTTAGTTCTGGACACTCAACTTTTACTACAGTCTTCACCCAAATAGAACCCCTGGCAATTATCACTCTTATCCATGGACCAAACGTTCCCCCAAATTTCAATTTTCATGAGAGGGCGTTTTATGCGTGTGAAGCGGGTAGAGGTCTTTTACGTACCCCATCACCTGGCTTTCACAACTCTCCCTATCTTTCCACCCTCTACACACCCCCAAAAAAATGATGAAGCCGACGAGTACTGTGGTGCTGCACTTGTGCTGTTACAGCAATAAGCAAACCTGCTACAAAACTGGTTTACCCCGTTATTTTTTTCTGGCCCACCGTTTTGGTTGACCCATAACCAAATGTGTTTGTTGCAGCACCACCAAATTATTATATGAATCAATACGATCTTCAGTTATGATATAGTATGAGTCGTAGGCAGAGAGGTAGAAGAAGACACCAAACGAGGGTATGTGTTACATGTTGCGCCTGCAACAGGCTGCACAGGCCATTTTCAGGCCCGTGTTGTTTTCAGCCTGAAAGCCTGAAAACAAGGGCCTACAGGCCCCGTGTTTCAGCCTAAAAGCCTGAAGACAAGGGCCTACAGGCCCTGTGCCGTTTTCAGCCTGAAAGCCTGAAAACAAGGGCCTACAGCCTAAATCAGGGCCTTTCCGGCCCTGAGTCTTTTCAGCCTGAAACGGAGGGCCATTTTCAGGCCCTCATAAGATCGACCTGCCCTGAAACTCAGGCACCAGACCAGGGTTTTAGCTCAGGCCATTTGTGGCCTATTTTCAAGACAACCTTTGTTTGAGCTTCAACCCCAGGGTCTGGCACGTTTTGGCATTGGCAAGAGCAGCCTCCAGGACGGGCCAGCACTATATAAGACTGGCCCGCCCTGCAGGCTGCAGGTAGTTCCTAGGTACTTCCCAGGCACTTCACGTGCAGTTCAGGAGGCAGGAGGCAGTCAGTAATCTTCAGGATTTGGCAGCAGCACTCTGGAGGAGCGCTGCAGGATGAGTAGTAGTAGCGTTAGCAGTAGTCTTCAGCGCTGGGCGCTAGTAGCATTAGCTGTAGTCTTCAGCGCTGGGCGCCATAGCAGCTAGAGTAGTACTAGAGAGAGAGAGATTGGGCGGAGGCCTGAGGGACTTACCTGCAGCGCCATTGCTCCAGCTTCCTCTTCAAGGTACCTGCAGCACAGCGCCACTACTACTACTACTACTACTACTACTACTACTACTACCACTACTACCACTACTACCACTACCACTACTACTACCACTACTACCACTACCACTACTACTACCATTACTACTACCACTACCACTACCGCTACCACTACCACCACGACTACCGCTACCACTACTACTACTACGACTACTACTACTACTACTACTGCCACTACTGCTACCACTACCACTGCCACTACTGCTACCACTACCACTACCACTACTACTACTACTACTACTACTACTACTACTACTACCACTGCTACTACTACTACCACTGCCACTACTACTACTACCACTACCACTACCACTGCTACTGCTACCACTACTACTACTACTACTACTACTACCACCACCACTACCACTACTACCACTACCACCACTACCACTACGACTACCACTACGACTACTACTACGACGACTACTACTACTACTACTACTACTACTACTACCACTACTACCACTACCACCACTACTACCACTACCACTACCACCACTACTACTACTACTACCACNACTACTACTACTACTACCACTACTACCACTACCACCACTACTACCACTACCACTACCACCACTACTACTACTACTACCACTACTACTACTACTACTACCACTACCACTACTACTACTACTACTACTACTACTACGAGAGAGCTTGATGACATTTGGCTCCAGACTCGACATGGGACTTCAGACATTTTGAAGAGGGATTATTTGGGACTTGTAACGAGACCTGGTGTTGACGACTTTCCCATCTCCCCCTTCCTCTTCTTCATCTGATCCCCTCCTCTTTGTCTGTGTATGTCTGGACCTGGCGCTTCTTTCCTGCGTATAGTGCCAGGCCCCTTCACACCTTGTGATGAGCATGATGTATGTTTGGTCTGCGTTGAAACATTGATTTGAAATCAGACTCGCTCTCACCACACTTCTCACGCATGCAAACAGGTGCGCAGCGAACTGGCGACAAGCGCCCACTCAGAACTCAGAGATATGGTAACCGAGAACACAGTTCAGATTCAAGTTCACTTCGATGGCTATGGCGACTCAGCGCCCACACAACTCACTGTTCGCATACACAGGATCACCCTGGATATACCACACGCGATACTCTGAACACATACACACCCACACATTGAACTCTACTACAGCTATGGCGGCTACGGCCGCTACTACCCTATCGCTATGGCTACACTCCTTCTCTCTCGCCCACTTCGTCCTCGGGCTCACTGCAGACCACCTCGCACAAGTCGCTTGTGGCAGCGCTTCCGCATGGCTCACGCAGGAATGAATCCATGACTGGGCGCTGCCTCTTGATTTATACTTCTGCAGCTCGTTGGTCTGGCCCTTTTCCCATGCCCGTAGTGCACACAGTCCCATGCGGTACTTGCTTGACTGGACCAGGACTGCATAGGACTGGGACTGTTGACTCAGGATGGGTAGACTCCACCACTTGCCCACTTGCCTCACCACTTGCCCACTTGCCTCACCACTTGCCCACTTGCCTCAGCCTAAACGTGGGCAACTTCGAAAGGCCACTACTCGGACCTTCCGGAAGGCCGTAGACTTGGCCTTTCGATACCGTAGCAGCTACGACCTTGACCTTTCTGGACTGTAGCAGCTACGACCTTGACCCTTCGAGACAGCTACAGCTACGATGGCTAGACCTGACTGGGACTCCTATTTGACAGGTCTACAGATCGAACCCCTGCTACCTATGGGCCCCTACGACAACCTACCAGCTGTTACAAATGCACAGGTCACAGGTTCAACTCTAGGGGTCGACACAGATACTGTACACAGGTAAGGTGGGGACTAGGGATCAAGCCCTGGGATCTGCATCAGCTACTGCGAACTGGTGAATACCGTTTCACTCCCGCCGGCCTAAATTCGAGGTCCTCCGAGAATAACTCAGTCCAAGGCAGGACCTTTACCTCTCTGATCAATTTCGTAGGCTCTAACCATATCGGGAGCTGTCTCTAGAAGTTCTACTCTAGTGAACCAGCGGTCATCCTCCGGCTCCTGATAAGCAAACCGGACCTTATACTGTTTCTGTGGACGACCTCTTCCTCCTGTTCTAAACACATCTTCACCTACAATGCCGTCAATGTCATATCTGCCGTCCATGTCTGGAGGGATCATGGACCGTCTAGATGGAAATTGTTGACTGGTGACACGCGGCAGCAACTTTGATGCGTGAAACACAGGGTAGGTGTGGAGGTGTGCTGGGATCTCTATAGTATAGGACGGCCCATCCTCTCCGCCCTCAACTTCTAGAACTGGCCACTGGCCTCTATACGCTAGCAGTAATTTCTGCGAGATGTTCTCCTCAGGCGCAAACTCTTTAGACTTGACCCAGACCAGGTCGCCTACCTGAAACTGCGATGGGCGACGGTGCTTATTAGCCTGTTCTATCATTCGGTATTGGGCCTTCCTGAGGTTCTCGACAACAGTGGCTATCTCTTTCTCGTGCTGTATCGCGAACTCCCTGGTACCGGGCGGTAGCCTGTGAATATGATCCCGGTTAAGTCCCTCAAACGGTCTACGCAGTCTAAAGGACTTGTGCAACTCGTTGGGAGTGCGCCAGGTGGACAAATGCACGTTGTTATTGTATGCACTGGCTACCTTGGGTAACATCTCGTCCCAGTTAATCTGATCAGGTCTAATGTACATGCGCAAAACTTGTTGCAGGATCTTGTTCATCTGCTCTGTCTGACCGTTAGTCTCTGGATGGCGGCCAGATGACATCAATAGCTTAGATCCATAGACTCTCATCCGTTCCTGCCAGTTCTGGCTAGTGAAGAGGGTGTCTCTATCACTAACAATAGACAATGGGACGCCATGCTCGCTAACCCAAAAATCGAAAAACTTTTGAATCACTAACTCTGTACGTGCCTCTGCAGGCAAAGGGACAAAAATAGCATACTTGCTAAATCTATCGACTACGACCATGACTTGGCTCTTGTTGTGCCTACTCTTGACACCGGCATCCATGAAGTCCATGGAGACTGAATCTCCAAGCTGATCTGGGATGGGCAAGGGTCTGAGAAGACCTAGAGGGGCACGCGTAGTAGTCTTGTTCCTCTGATAGACTTTACAACTGCGGACATACTCTATGCAATCGTTTTTCATTCCTGGCCATGTGTACGCGTGCATAGGATTGGCTAAAGTCTTTTGCCAACCGAAGTGTCCCTCTGTATCATGGCATTCCCCTAGGATCAAACTGTGGATTTCCTCACTGTTGAGAACACATAGGCGATCTACTAAATTAGTCTTCTCGAATAACAAACCCTCTGTAGTTCGGTAATCTGGCTCGGTCTCTGGAACCTCTTTAACCCTCTTTAACCCTCTTGAGGAGGTCACTATAGATAGGATCCTGCGCATACGCCTGTCTAACTTTCTCTTGCAGGTCACGCCCTATGTCCAGATAGTGAACTATGGCTCCAAAGTAGTCTGACCTCCTACTCAGAGCATCCACAACTACATTGTACTTTCCCTTAACCAGCTTGAGCTCAAAGTCGTACTGGTCTATCTCAGCGGCCCTCCTACTCAACTTAGGTGTCATCTTGGTCTGTGTCTTCAGCCATCTAAGTGTCTCATGGTCTGAATACACCTTGAAGTGCCTCCCAGGCAGATAATGCTTCCAGTGCTCTAAAGCCTGCATGAGAGCGTAGAGTTCCCTCTCATACGTCGAGGTAGCAACCTTCTTTGAGGGCATCCTCGCTGACATGAACTCTACGGGTCTGTAGCCATTGTCGTCGTCCTGCTGTAACACGGCGCCTATACCATACCGACTCGCGTCCATGGTGACGACAAATGGCAAGGACGGATCCGCTACTTTAAGGACAAGGTACTCTATCAACGCGCGCTTTAACTTCTTTAGCGCAGACGTACAATCCTTATCCCACTGCCAGATTGCCTCTTTCTTGAGCAATTTGCGAAGGGGAGCGGCGATAGTGGAGAAGTTCCTCACGAACTTCCTATAATAGTTAGCCAGGCCTAAGAACGACCGCAACTCAGTCAATGTGTGGGGCGTCGGCCAATCTCTAATCGGCGCTATCTTACTGTCCTCAGGTTTAATGCCATCTCCGTCTAACACTAGGCCCAAGTACAAAACTTGTGTCTTGGCCCACTCACACTTCTTTGCATTGATCTTGAAGTTAGCTTCTCTCAGCTTCTCCAAGACCTTCCTCAAATGACCCTGGTGTTCTTGGAGGGTCCTACTAAACACTAAGATATTGTCTAAATAAACTACGACGAATCTATCTGACCAAGGCCTAAACAAATCGTTCATACATCGCTGAACTGTCGCTGGCGCATTGGTCAATCCAAAGGGCATCACTATGAATTCATAATGCCCATATCTAGTCTGGAATGGAGTCTTGTACTGGTCATCAGGATGGACCTCTATCTGATGATAATCGGACTTCAAATCTATCTTTGAGAAATACTTGCAACCCTGCACCCGATCTAAGAGATCGTCTATACTGGGCAGTGGTTCAACATTCTTGACTGTGATAGCATTCAGACCCCTATAGTCTATATACATTCGCAACTCTCCTTCCTTCTTAGGGAAAAAATAAATTGGTGCTCCAAAAGGAGACGAACTGGGCCTAATCCAACCCTTCTCAAGGAGCTCGTCTAGTTGCTTGCGCAGCTCCTCTAACTCTCTAGGGGACATCCTGTAGACTGCGCCCTTAGGAGTTTTACTGCCAGGCTCTATCTCTATCCTGTGCTGGATCGGTCGCGGCACTACTCCTGTCGGCGGCTCTCTGAGATCTTTAAACTCTTCCAACAGCTTGGCAATGGCTGGATCCATGGAACTGTCCTCTTGATTAGGCTCTGTGACAGACCTTACATACACTACAAAGACCTGATCCTCTAATTGCTCCTTTTTCACTAATCGCGCGAACGAGGGAGCACTGAGGCAGCAATGTGCCAAGGAGTTATCTACTCCAGACACATGAAACAGACGAGTTGTCTTAACTTCGCCTGACGGATTAGGGAGCCTACACTCATGCTCTCTTAAGTGGGGTGTGGCCCCTGCTGCCTCTCCCCAGTCCATACCTAGGACTATGTCAAAAGGAAGGTCATCCTGAACGAGGAGAGTCAGGGAATGGAGAACTTTCTCCACCTTCCCATCTTTCTCTAGGCGGAAGTACGCCTGGACTCCCTCTACGTAGTCCTCAGTACGCATAGTGCGGTTGTCTGCGAGGACATTAACTATGGGGTCTTCCAACTTCTAGACTTTCAATCCTAGCCTCAGCTTCTTCAGCGCTTTACGGCTGATATAACTACGGGTAGCCCCTGAATCTATAAGCGTCCCTACTCTACTCCTGAACACTTCTACATCCACTGAAACTAGCTGCCCTTTACTATCTTTCTTCATCTTGGCCCAGGCAGGCATCCTCTCCTTCAATTCCTCTGCCACGCCTGTGAGGGACGTGCCTAGAGAGACGCTGACACAAGCAGTCTTTGGATAGCTAACTAGGCACGGGCCTCCAACCTCTGCCGAAGGCTCATGTGGTGTGGGAGTTTCCTATACGCGCGCGCTCGCTTCCCCACATGGCCTAATAGTAGGGGCAGTTGCGAGCCCTACCGGCGGCTGCCTTTTGACTCCTGGGCGGCCCAATGGGCCTGTCTATATTTCGGACAATATTTTATTATATGGGCCGGGTCACCACAATAGATGCACTGCCCCTGCTCCATACGTTGCTGCCAGACTCTCTGCTCTAGGCCCAGATCTTCCCAGGGCAAGCCTTGCGGCCAACCTAGGTGCCAACCTCCTCTCCTTTGAGGTGATCCTCCACCTCGTCTCTGCGGGGACCGACTGGGACCTTGACGATTTGGCAGGGGACCTTGACCCCTACCTTCCTGTTGGCGGTCCTTTGGCTGCCAACCCCTTGAGCGCCCGATCCTCGGCCTCCCATGGCCTGGCCCCTTTGGCCCTGGCCTCCTCCTCTACTTTGCGGCCTCCCTCCAGCCGCGACAACAGCATAGGACCTCCCCTGACCCACACTACTGTCATCCTCCTCGAGGCCCCACTCAATCTGACTGTACGGGACCTCGTCAGTACCACCTTCTTCCAACGTATGATCATTGGCCCTAACCTGACCAGAGATGGTACGCCCCTTCCACTTCTTTCCCTTGTCTAAGTCCTTGTGCCAGAAAGTGGAAACTGGCATGGACTTGGCCTCAAACAAGACCACTTCCCTACTCAATGCATCGTATGTGATGTCGGGCTGCTGGGTCTTGTCAAAGAAGTGCCCTCGTAAGGGCTCTGGCATGGCACGATAAAACAACTGAACCAACTGGGTCTAAGTGACCTCGTGGTCCGTGACGGCTACCAAGTCGTCCATGATAGCTTTGAGTGCTCTCGCACTCCTCCACTGTCGTGGATGGATGGTCTATAGCTTATCGGAGGCCCTGACGCCTCTAGTGACGTCAACAAACCTCTCTCGCAGGAGTTTGAGGAAAGTGGCGAGGGGGGTAAGCCTGGAATATGCGATCATGTTGTGCTCGCAATTTGCGGCACATGCGAGGGACCTGGCGAAGCTAGCCGCTTCGTCCTTTAGAGCGTGGAAGGCGACGAGGACTTGTTCCTCGGGGGCAATATGCTGTAGAAAAACATATGTATTTATACTGGCCTCCCAGTTATCGAAATTTTCCTCTTTCTTCCCACTATATGGGCCAGGGAATTTTAACTTCACTGGCTCTTTGCGGGGACGCACCGTGGCCTCTGTTGTGGCCACAACATTGGCGGTCTCAATGGCGCCAGCGCAGAACTTGTCTACGTCATCCCTCAATCTTCTAATTTCAGACCCGACGTGGCCCACCACGTCGCTCGCAAACTCCCTGAACCCGGATCCCATTGCTTGCAGGGTCACCTCTTGGCCCTTACGGGCCTGGTGCTCTTCCAGCCAGGCCTCACTCAAGACTTCCAAGAAGCCCATCATCCTATCTAGCTTGGCAGAGACCTCTGTTTGGGCCTGCAGCTCCTGCCTGCCGGTTCGCACTCGCTCAACCTCCCCCGGCTATTCTGCTGGCTTCCTCCCTCCTCTTCTTTTCCCTCATCATGTTCAACTTCCACTCCAACTTCTTTTCATCTTCTGTCGCCTGGCGTTCCAGGAGATCCTCTATTGACTCCAGGGCCCTGGCAAACGCCTCCCTCTCCTCCTGTGGCACATATCGCTGTGCCTCATCATCTTCTTCCAATGATAAATTAGCCACCCATTCACTAATCTTCTTCTCCCTCCATCTGTCCTCCTCCTTTGTGCCACTTGCTTCCCCTCTCTCTTCTCCACGTCCTCTTTCAAGGGGCTCTTCTTCTTCTTCTTCCTCCTCCGTTGCGGCTGCTTCTTCCTCTGCAGCCCTTCTTCTTTCCTCTTCCTCTAGCTGTATTTGCAGCATCTTCTCCTTTTGAAATCTCAGCATCTCCTCCTCCAATCTCTTCTTCTTCGCCACCTGCTCCTCTGCAATGGCCTTTAACTTCACCTGCTTAAGGAGCTCTTTCTTCTCCTTTTTCTCTCTCAGAAGGGCGGCGATCCGGGCCTGCTCGGCCTCAGAGGGGGCAGTACTCTTCCCACTACGGGTGTCAACCATGGTGAAAGGTGCACAACCAGATAGCGGTTCCACTCCTCACCACTTAGACTCTACTCCCCCTGACTGACACACCTACTGACTCAATCTAAGACATACAGAATCCGGACAGGATCCTGTCAACTAGGGTCTCTAGCCTAGACCTACTCTAAGGCTGTCACTACAAGACCTGTTGCTGATCAGGCGGCATTTAAGGAGATCCCCCATAACTCCTCAGGAATTATTTAACGTCGCAGACAAGACGACGCAATCAGCAGGTATTCTCGACACTTAGATGGCCTGTTGTGCAGCCCACAACTCGGATTTTGGGCCTACCGTGCCACACCGAGCAGCCCGCCGGTCAGTACCAATCCTTGGGAGGGTTCGTGTCCTCCGGGACAGTCGAGTCGTCAGACACAGTCTTTAGCCCTACTCAGCCTGTGTGGGTTTGGTCAACGAGGCCCTATCCTTCATCCACAGAGTTCCTATCACCTGGACAAAAGAGACTCAATGCAGAAAGAAGAGACAGACAGACTTGACTCAGCAAGTACCTCAGGGTGTGTGCACATCCATAGGGCGAGGGGATAGGCTGAAGGCTTGGCGAGATTATACCGGCTCCAACTTGGTCAAACTCGTGGTCAACGGCCTTGGTCAACGTCGTGGTCAACGACCTTGGTCAACGCCTTGGTCAACGCCGGTCAACCCCGGTCAACACCTCCGGTCAACTCCCGGTCAACGCCGGTCAACCCCCGGTCAACACCTCCGGTCAACTCCGGCGATGGCAGCCGTCTTCACCTTCTTCGTCACCCTTCTCCTTCCTTTCTCCCTACCTCGCCTCCTTTCTCTTCAACCCTGCTATCTTCTTTCTCTCTCTTTTTTATTTTTATTTTTTTTATCGTCTCTCCCTTCACCTCCTCGGCTATGGTTTCCTTCACCCTCCTTGGTCTCCTCCTCTATCCTCTCTCTCTCCCTCTTCGTTACTCCGTGGTCAAGCTCTGCGGCTATGGCCGCCTCCTTCTTCCTCGTCGGACTGCACGGCACACTTCAAAGGTACGTGACAACCAAACTTGTATCGCTCCTCTCTCTCTCTCTCTCTCTCTCTCTCTCTCTCTCTCTCTCTCTCTCTCTCTCTCTCTCTCTCTCTCTCTCTCTCTCT